GACGTGAATAGTCTAGACATTCAGTGTAGGAGTCTGTGTTTTATAGTTTTAGCACATCCTTTTAGCTTGTTTATTATTTTAACCTTTAGGGTTTGAGCTTTTAAATTTCTTTGCTGGTTCTATGCAATTAAAGATCTCTCATACAATATATTACCTACTCTAATATGTGTGTTGTGGTGCACAGATCCCTGTAATTTATCATCAAATGTTACTGTTACTTAATTTATTAGATGTACATATTAATACCATATTGATACGTAAGGATTTTAGGTTAAATGAGAAAGCCCTGACTAGATTAGATGCCCAAAAAATTTGGTAGTGATTGTCTTTTCTTTGTTTAAGTGCAGTAATTTCTGACCTTTTTAATGGAATCAATGTAATGAATGTGCTTTGCAAGTCTATATAAGTGTATATTATAGTTTTCATTATCAATGCAAAAAAAGACTTTGACCTGATGTTCTTCTAATGTCTTTGGATCAATTAATTTGTAAAATGGAAATGTTATTGTTTGGTTATGGATTATGTGACAAGGAATGTAAAATAATGATTGTTATGAGTATAAATAATCCATCTCCTTGTGCAGTATGTGTGCAAAAAGCCTCTACACACATCACTTTGGATGTAAAGCTCTCATGTGGGCAGTTGTGTCAAATGCTTAGCTTGTAGGTGAAATAGGTTTCCCTAGACACACATCTGAATTCTTACTTCAGTGAATTTTTTTAATTATCACAACCCAAAAGCCGCCTGACTGACACTTGAGACACTGTATGACTAAAACAGCTGCAATAATTCAACCTAATCAGAGTTACAAATTTTTGTAGAATTTCACAAGGGGTGATTAGATTCATTCAACTCAAGTCAGAGTTACAAATTTTTGTAGAATTTCAGCACAGTCATTGTTTATGCTTAAGACTGATACTAATGCAAGAGCTCCCATGTAAAGTTCTTGCTGGGAGTTTCTGAAAACGCAGGCAGCCAGTTATTACCCGAACTCTAATTTCCTTTTCCTGCTCCATAGTTTTTCCCCTGTATGTCGCTCTTCCTTTTTTTTGTACTGAAACAAAATCTAGCAATTAGCTCTTATCTTCTTATTCTGCTGACAATAGCTCACGCTGAAATGAGTTCATGGTTCATGGTCTCAGAGCTTTTAATCACCACCCTGGACATTAGTCATTAGAGGAACCAACAGCTGTGGCAGCACCCGCCCAGCTCGCAATGTGGCCAACGTGGTCATTATAGGAGGACCATTTGGCAAAGTTGAGGTTACTACTAGGCTCTGTTATTAACACAGGGAATCAAAAGAGACCATTAACAGCAGATATGTAGGATATTTTTTTCTGTTATTTAGATAAACTGGGTTATCCAGGTTTAACCTTCACCCAGAAGGACATAGTAACACTGAGCCCTGTAGGAAGCTAAGGGCAAGTGCAGGTCATACGTAGGATAGGCGGGTCTGTATTTAATCACAATGTTTAACAATGAAAACCAGAGCTCAGGTAGGAGTGAAGACATGCATGTAAAACTATGTACACAGTTCTATATATCCTGTCATTTCTGGTAGATGCACAGGAGAATGATGAATGTTTCCTTTGGCATTCTTATTTTTAGACCCAACTTTATTGACAGTGACTTCTTGGTTGAACTATACCACAAAAGACACACAAAACAAACATATACAAAGGATTACGTGACTGCAAACACAAATTATCCATCAAAGCTCTTATTTACCTGACCTTTAGCCCTGATTATCATTTGTCGACACGTTGCCTTGTGCACTAGCAGCAACTGGGACCAGAGCTGCAATAAATGCCCTTGTTAATACACTGGCAGTTTCTCATGTTTCACACAAACAAACACATGTACACACACAATTTCTCTCCCTTCATTCATCAGCAAAAAAAAAAAAAAGTATCACAAAATTATTGACTGAGTGCAAAAAAAAGAGAAAAGAAAAACCAGTCAGAGGTTGTCACTCATTGATTTAGTTGTCAGTGCAGGTCTGTGATCACTGTGTGTGCGTTTATTTGTTAAGAAATGAAATGAAAGTTTTTGGATGCAACAACAATAGGAAACCTAGAATAAATCACTATAAAGCAGCTGTAAGTAAATAATACTTTCTTATTGAATTAATTAATGATTTCCTCCTCGGGTTTGCATTAACAAAACCCTCCAATCCATGCCTTCAAGATTTGAACATGACAGTATTCACAATTACACAAAAAAGCTTCTTGCCACCTTGACCGATATGAACAATTTCAAACTTCATTTCACAAGCAGATACATACACACGTTGAGAGACGTTAATCTGCATCAGCCTCATTGTGAAGTCTAGTGCAGAGTCGGATTGTCCCCCTGTGGGCGCACTGGTTTTACAGTCTGCATAACTTTGTTTTTTTTGCCATAAAATTTTGATCATCCTGAACAAATATGCATCTGCTTATGCACTCAAAATCTGAGATAGTTTGTTCTGCTTTTGCCACCTAATGTGACATGATGCTGAATAAAAATAACCTGTGCCAACTGGTAATGATAAAAATATGGATATTATTTGTGATGAGTTGAACTTTCTTTCGAAACTGAGAGTCCCAGACTCGTTCATTGAAGTCCAACAGGTAAAACTGCCATCAAACTGCTGAAGCAGAGCAATAGTAAGTCTTACAACAACAAACAACAGGTCATCTGCCTGGTATACACAGATTTATGTGGGTATGAATCATTTAGCATGTTTGTTATTTGTCCTTGAAACAGCACTGTACACAGACTTAGCTGTTCTATGTATAGGAGTGCCCAGGAATCAAAACAACTGTAGTGAGTTCTCACAGGGTGGGAATAAACATGTTGCATGGTTTTCAACTCTTCTGGATTGTAAAAATGCATTGAGATGATTCTGAATAGCTTGTAATGGACAAATAGCACAAATTGTTTCTCTTTTTCTTTGTGAGATGGAAAACAAAATTTAGGTGGAGTTGATCAGACAAGTGAACAGCCCTCCTGGCAGCTTGGTGAGCTGGCGTAAAACATACACGCACATTTGACCCTTTGTATCTAACAACTTGGAACTCTTAGATAATTGCTTGTAATAACCATTAAAATAACAAAGATAGGGAAACATTTTTGTGTCAAAGCGTAAAAATAATCCCTCACTGGGGCCCTAAGGTGCTCTCATCTCTTCTTTTTTCTCCTTTCTTCCTGTGCTGTCCCCGCACTAATCTTTAATCATTAAAGAATTTGTTTCTCTGATGTTATCTGATTTATGTATTAGCTGGCTGCAGTGTTGGATTGTGTTTATTAATGGAGTTATCGCATAAATCTGCAGCACACACCCTGAGCTGAGCTGTAACACATTGATTGTGTGTCCAAAGCAAAGTTTGTGTGCCTGAAATCAGCTTTTTTTTAAAAAGGCAATAAAATTATTGGTAACTGTTTTATGAAGCGAACCACTGCCACCTAGTGGACAAACTGTCTCCAAGCTTGAATATGTGCATGTGAACACTTACTGGAATGCCATGTGCACAGTCCACCTAGACAATTGTTATAAAGTACATTTTGGATTGGTACATTTCTGATCATGTATGAAACATAATGTGCACTTTGTTCTGGAGTGAGGAGTTGTCAGCTTTATGAGTGCATGTACTGATTAGACAATATCACCTGAATTCAACATTTTTAGTCAGAAATAGTTTTACTTTTCCACTTCTGTTCCTCCCCCACTTTGCCCACGCTGAGGCTGACTTTCAGAAGTAGTCTGAGTTCATAGTGCTGCTCATATCACAGGGTAATTGGCAGCAGACCTCAAGCCTAAAGAGTCTCATAGGTCTGTTTTATTTACAGAGAAAATTTGGCATCCTTGAGACGCTTCTCTACTTTATCGCAGAACCGACTGCAGTACGCTAATCCTTGAAGACTTCAGCTCCCACCTGCCAACCCTCATTATTTTCATGCTATTTTTGAGATAAACAATCTTAGAGTAGCTCAGTGCCAGTGAGATTTCCTCTCATCACAGAGTAATGAAAATGAAGATGGCAAACAGGCCCACAGAAAAAGACTTCACCAAATATTTGCTAGTGTCGAGGTCAGTTATTTAGGAGAGTCTTAGATGCCGGCCACGTGACTCTTTAAAATCAAAATTTTCACAAAATTAAAAAAAATACTATTACTATTGCTAATATTATACTAAATAATGGAAAGTCTTCAGTTACATCACAACTGAGAAACCTTCAGCTGCTGATGGAAAGCAGGGGATATGGTCAAAAGCTCCAGAACAAGTGAGAAAGTGGCTCTTCAGTGGAGGTTGTTTTGTCATCTGCCGTTTCCAGCACGAAGAATTTAGACTGACAAGTTTTAATTAAATGTTGATCGTACCAAAATGTGAGAAAATAGTGTTTATCTGATTGAACCCACCGGGAAATTCTTATCTACGTATCGTGTTTTTTCAAGTATTTGTTAGTCATTTTACGCCTTTATTACAGACAGTAGAGAGATGAAAGGGAGTGAGACAGAGATGCAACAAAGGTCCCAGTCTGGACTTGTATCAGGGAGGCTGTGGTTCATGATCAGTATCTTACTGCCTTTCTTTAAAAATTATTTACTCTATTATAATTTGCAGTTTCACATAAAATGATTAAAACTGAGCTATGGTGTGACTGAACATAGAGCTGATGCTCGATTAGACAGAGGTCTGACATTGGACTCAAACTAATACATTTGGTTCAGTTCGCTCTACAGGCTAAATTTAGATGCACAATGTGGTAGGAATATACAGTTTCACAGATACTGGAATAATTCTATCAGAATATTTCGAGTCTTGCCCAAAAGTAAAACACAGAGAAACTACATAAACTCACTGCAAACATATAGAAATGAAAACAATTCTATTGGATGTTAAAACAATTTTATAGAATATCTAAAATCAGAAAACACCAAAAATAGTAAAATTATAATACGGTTTTACTTTCAGTTACTTTGGACATGTTTCAAATCTCCTACTTCAAAAAGTTAACTGATGCTTTGATTACTCCTTAGACCTGCTGGGTCAGTCAGAACATGGTTTCAAGATTCAAGATGCGTAGCTGTGTAATTTCCAACTTTGCCAGACATCTCTGTTGAATCGCCTGATGAAAACCACAGATCCCCTGCCCCCAACCCCTCCTTCTGTCTTTACCACTAGCCCTCCCCCAAACTCTTGGATGTTAGCCTTATCTCAAACACCTCTATCCTCACGCATGCAATTAAACCCCTTCCCCCCTCTCCATTCTCCATCCCACCCACTGTAGACTATTACCTTCATTAGCATAAGCACAATAGCTAAACAGAGCAGACAGTGAGCAAAAAACACAAAACCAGCCTCAAAGCTCTCTGCTATTCTTTAACCGTGGGTTTAACCTGTCACGAAGTGATTTTGTCCTTTTTTGCTTTCTTTATGCATCATAGTTGAATGAATTAACTCGGCAAGAACTGACATGTACTGTATGTTACAACATAGTGCAGATTTATGACAATAAAGTAAACAATTTGTTAACCATTCCAACCGATTCTACCAAAACATGACATCAAGATAGAGCTGATGAGACATAAGATTAGATGTTCTGAAGGGGGGTTACTAGTATCATTTGAGCCAGAACAATAGCTCACTGACATGGAAGAGAGCCAACAGTTCAGGAAATTTACAGTTTAAAGTTGGCTGACTTACTGCTGTGGCTGCGTTTAGATACCGTACAGCATAAAACAAGTAGTGACTGCCACAATTTCTTAGAGATGGCTCATGTTGACAAGCTAAAATAAAGAACCACTTCCTAAAGTCATAAATGAAATACAGCAGCAAAAAAAAAAAACCCACAATGAGGACTGGGCAGAAAGTGAAGCAAAGGGCTGATGCTGGTCAGTAGTTTATTGATATACAGCCGGTACAAACTGCCTCACCTGCTGACTGACTGAATATAATGACGTCTGGCAGTATCACCAGCACCAATTTCAGACATGATGGGGAAGAAAAATAAATGTTTAAAAAAATTATACATGTAAACTGAAGTCTGTTATTCAGCAGTACTACAGCAGCAGTTCTGCAAAACACACCTGTCTATGTGAAAAGTGGAATGGAATGTTATTTACAACAAAAGTAGCTTATAAAGGCTAATTTTCCATATTTCAGGGAAATAGGTAGTTTTGAAATGAGGTGTACAAAAAAATAAAATAAAATAAAATATCTCCATTTATATTCTGTTTTAAGTTATTTTCAAAAACAGTATATGTAACCAGTGTGTGCAAAATGGTTAAGACAATACATTCAGCTGTGTAATGGAAACAATTTTTAGTGCAAATATAGTGTGACAAAACTGACTTCACAGTAGGGGCATTTTAAAATGCCAGACTCTTGACATAACCACCTAAAGCTTCTGTACACCTTGTGAATCCCTGAGGTGAGTACATTCAATAATCAAAAAAAAAAGAAATATGAAAAAGAACCCTGTTTACAGAGGACATCTGAAGAAGTAGTCATCTCTTAAAACAAATACCGACTGCTCTTCACATTCAAAGAATCAAAAAACTAAGAATAAATTTAAAGCACTAACAATGAAAACTGAAAAATATAACAATAATAATAAGGGCGCCAAGTGTAATGCTTAGCAGGGATTTAAAGAGAATGGAGAAGAAACAGGTTCAAACAAAATGCCTCTAAATAACAGCTTTGAACTGCCTTTTGCCTGGAGGACAACATGCAGGGTTTAAACAGACCCAGGACTCCGTTTCTTTTCACACACGTGCAAATGTCCAGGAGGGAGGAATGAACCGTGGTGGTGGGGCAGAGGAAGGACACAATGCATTTAGATGCTAAGTCAGTATACTTAATAGTCTTTTAGAACTTCAGCTGTATGTTTATAACAGGGTACAGAGGCAGAGAGAGAAATGTGTTTTGGGGACCAAAATTTCTAATTGTGCTTATCCTGCTCCAGAAAGCCCATTTTTATGGGATAAAAGCAATGTGCATTTATCCATGAACCAGTGACAACCCATGATGTAAAGCTCGCTTCCACATGTAGTATGTTGAACGGGGAGTGAAGGGGAAGTAAGACCTGAATTCTTTAAATGTGGGGAAGGATTTCTCCTCAAAGCGTTGCTGCAGGAAGAGCTTGGCCTTGGCCTTGAAGTTGGCCAGAGTCACAACATCCATTGCAAACATCTGCTCATCTATGGACGTTCTGCCGTGAAGGGTGTGCTTGAAATGTGGGGCAAAGGAGCACATGGTGGCATTTTTTAGAAACTTAGGACTCTCAACAAATGGAAGCGCATGCTGACTTTCCATCCTTCTCTCCAGTAGTTTGTTTTCTGCAGTGGTGCTCTCCAGACTCTCTGGAAGGTTGATCTCCTGGGTGGCCATCTTCTTCTTGTGGTTCTGACTGCTACGCCACAGCCAGTAGAAGCAAGGGGACATGGTTGGGAACTTGAGCTTGAACTTTGTCAGGGACCACTTTGATTTCTGGACATGCAGCTTTGCAGCATCTCTGAGCTGTTTCTTACTCATGTATGCCAGCCTGAAACTTCTGTGTTTTTGCCTACAGATCCTCAGTTTGGGCCTGACAAGCTGGCTGGTGTTAGGTAGGACTGTTGACAGACTTTTTGGACTGTGGCTCTTGTCAGCATCTGAGCTATCCTCACTGCTGCCAACACTGCCTTTGTAGCCTCCGTTGAACATCATAGCTTCTCTTCTCCAGTTGTAGTAGGTTGATCTGGAAATCCCTGGGAAGTTTCTTTTGAAGATCCTGAAGGGCAAGGAGGCATTCATGGCGATGCAATTCTGCAGAGAGCGCTTAGCTTCCTGCATATGTGCCACATTCTGGGCCCGCTCCACATTCAGCTTGCAGAGGCCAAACATGCCAGCCATGGAGTCATGGTGGTCCAGTTCATCCTGCTTTGCTTCAGGTGAGGACCAAGCCTCCTGCTCCGTGCTCTCTCCAGGACTTACCTCTCCGGTTGAAGACGATGTTGAGAAGTTCCCTCCAGATTTCAGAAGCTCATGCTTCCAGTTGTAATATGTTGACCTTGAAATCTCAGGGAAGAACTCTTTGAATTGATGCAGGGGGATGAGCTTGCCCTCCAAGTAGCAGGCCTGCAGGAAATACTTTGCCTCATATCTGGCTGCAGACTTTTTGCAATGCTCCTGCGTCTGCCTCTTCCAGCGGTAGAAGGTCCTTTTGGTGATGTTGTATTTGTCCTTCAGGCTCGGATAAGACAACGTCAAGTCCTGGTTCAACAGCTCCTCGCTCTTTATGGGCAATGCCTTCTGCTCACTGTCATGACTTCCAAATGTGAGGTCGCTGGTCTGGACAAGCGCGACAAAATGATTCGGCCTGAAAGATTCATCAGACTGCAGCTCACCTGACCACATGATGTAGAGGGTTACTGGCACAGAGTCTTTAGGCCAGGTCCTTGGACGTACGACTCGGTTGAAATATGGTCTGATCTTGAGGTTGAACATGGGGTAGATGGAGTAGATGTTAAACTGAAGGACCGATGACAGTGCGTACACGTGCCACATGTTAGTGTAGGAACCAGGGAAGCAAGAAGCTTTGACATCTGCATCAAAAATGGCCTCCAAGATTGTGAAGGGCAAGTTCAGCATATCCTCAGACTCTTCAGCACAAAGACTGAAGCGTACAGCCTGGAGCATCATTTTTGAATCAATCATCTCAGACAGGTAGTATCTTTTCCACAGCACCATTTCCACTACGGTCCTCACCTGTAGGAGACAATATTACTGGAATTAATATTGCCATCACTAAGTGCACATACAGTATAAACACCTAGAAGATCTGTATTGATGTTTTCAGTCCGACCGTGTACATTTAGTTCACAAACTAACCACCATAAATACCATAAATACTCACCTGTAGCTCCAAGCTAAGTACAGTGTTGCCCACTAGCAGCATACTAACTGCGTCAAACAGTACGTTGCCTTCTCCCTTACAGTTTAAAGGCAAAAGGCCATCGGGTGCATCGGCTGGGTACAGGCCATGAGCTGCGCTGTCGACGCCTGGCCACTCAGGGAAATTCTGACAGGGCGTCCTGGGGAGCTGGAAAGGAGTGAGGACCTGGTCCACCTCCAGGGCCACTCTGGTCAGAGCGTCCAGTCCAGAGAGCTCTGTGGCCTCCTGGAGCTCCTCCAGAACAGATAGCACAATCTCATTCCTCTGAATCATAGCAGGGGATCTGATGAGGTCTGGACACACAGGATGGGAATAAAAAAAAACAAAAAAACACTAGGAGAAAAAAAAACTTGAGAAGACACAGAAAGAGAGCATAGCCCTAGATTGCTAAAATAAATAACAACTGATGGTTTTAGAAAATGTGTCTGTGCCTTTGTTAACAGCAGGCCAGACTATGCAGATTAATGTGGTCTATCTTCACACAAGCAACAGCTGCAGCTTAATGAAAACTGCCCCTGCTGCAGTTTTAATATTAAAAAAATACACATTCTTAAATTAGGCTGCTACCATGAATTAAGTCGTGCACATTTAAGCATAAACTAATCCATAAAGTATCTTCTCTGTTAGCTACTCCCCTCCTCCACCCAACACTAACTTTTCTGGCAACACCATTGCTGTGCACAAATTACAGTGAAACAAGCTGCTAAACATGGCAATGACATGATGTTTTATATGAAATAAAATAAAGCAACCGAGATCAAAACCAAACCACATAATAAGACCTACTTTGACGTGCGCTATAATTTTGTGTTTTTAATCTCACGCTAAATTATTTCCCTGTTTCTATCATTTCAAACGCTTTAAGTGAAGTTAAAGTCCGTATTATAAAACACCTATCTTGGCAGAAACTGTTCCCCATTCGTCGCAACGCAAACCACTACTGAAAGCATGTTCTTACCTGAGCGACCAGAGAATATAAGGAAGTGTCTTCTTTGCGGTGAAGGGTTTCACAGCTGATAATATTGATCTCTCTGGGAGGTTTAGTCCATTGTGTGCATGCAGCTCCTGGAGCGTCCTGTCCTCTAGTGAGCAGAAGAGATTCGGGGAGCGATAAGCAACACCTCCCATCAGGAAATCATCAATCGACCATTCGCTTTTTTTTTTTTTTTTTTTTTTTTTTTATAAAAAAAACCCCACCTCCTCAGCCAGGGTCAATTTCAATGTGAAGTGTTAACAAAAGCCAACGTGTCAGGGGATGTAAGAACACAGACAGCCCCGTAGGTTAGCAGGTATCGGTGCCTTTGGCTTTTATAAATGCGTTTTTTTGCTTTTCTTTGTCAAAGCCAGCTCCAGATGTCACCAGTTCACTTTCAAGGTTATTTGTCAAGTGCTCTTGATGTCAAGGAGAAAGCAGGGTTATTTTCACTTCTTTAAAAAAAAATTCTTGTGTGGCTGAATAATTTTTGACCAGTTTCCTTCTATTGCTTGTTAAAATTATTAAATTCTTCCTCAATTCAAAAATATAGGGAACTAAAAGGAACAATGTGATGAAATGGTTCATTCCAGCTACAATCATTCATTCCAGCTATTCTCCGATCTGAACATCCCTATGGCTAATTTGTGGATTACAGTGGATATATGCAGACAGGGTGTGGACATGAGCTTCATAAGAGGAGAGGAAGGCTCCAGAGCTCCAGGTCTGCTTGTTTCCCCACTTACTTTTAACACCTCCTCTCCTGCCTTTTGCAGGATTTCACTAATCAAGGCCTTTTGTTCCACACACACAACAATCCCAGAGACTGTCCCCCAACCCCCACAAACCCTAATATAGACCCCGACACTATTGCTTTTTAAACCCCCCCCCCCACACACACCACCCCCCACACAACACGAGACAGCAGCATTTGGCCCCCACTGATCTGTCCACTCTAGGCACTTAGCAGACAAGCTGGTGACTGAGTTCGCTGGGGTTCAAGGCTTTTTTGACCTAAAGCTTATCAGCTTTCTGAACAATGTGTGTGTAGTCGGGGGGTACAAAAGAAAGGACACAGTTTCACCACTTTGGTTTGTTTTTCTGACATTACAAGCTGAGATCATGCATACAGACGCCCACTTGTGTAAAGGTATGGATATGTGTGAATGCTAAATTCTTCCTCTTCCTCCAGATTTGAAATCTTGACCAGAAAAAGCTTTAAGGGTTAGGGTCTGTCGAAAACTTTGAAACACAAGCAGCAAGTTCAAGACAAACTATAAACTTACTGTAAATATTGAAAGTTGATGATAACATGGTATGTATGGAAGGGTCAAATGAAGTGTTGGAAAATTGCGGCAGTGGAGGGGAATATAAGACGGAGGTCACACTGAAAGGCATCTGTTCATCTATTCATGTTAAAATCTACTTTATTTCATATAATTTTTCATTGTAGCTGGAGTGAAAACAGATTACAATACATTGAGTAGCAGAGACTTTTGTACAATTCAGAGCTGAATGAATATAACTTCATTACGCAGACCTTGAAAGTGCCTCACTGCTCTCAGTATAGCACAGACATAGTGAATATGCTACAGGATCCCCAGATCTTCAGCTCTGAGTGTGAGTTCAGGGACATTTTTATGTACTCTGATTTACTCTTGGCTCTATCTCGCTTACATTCCCTCTTTACCTTTATGTTCTATTCACCTTAATGCTTTTAAACACATTGCAGAAAAAGGTGATCAGTCTACTTTCATCCATCACATCCTGTTTTTGAAAGATAAAACCAAGAAAGTGAACATATTCACAATCTGACTGGCATTTCTGCCTCCATTACATGTGATATGTGAGTCCCCTATCTTATCCAGGTATGATTTCTCCTCTTTAATCATCGCCTTTCTAGTCAGTGTTTGTGTTTTTATCTGTTCATCCCCCTCAGTCTCTTGGCCGTGTGTCGACTGACTGTGCTTCACTGCATTGTGAACACAGTGGTGGGCTGGCTGCAAGCATTTAAAATGCAAATAGGGCAACACTGGGACCGACTCCGGCAGTCTCTCACCTGCTGTGGCTATGTGTAATGTATGTGTGTGTGATGGCAGGGGAAAGAAAAAGAGCTGAAGACTGAAGCCAGCAGCACTGCAAACAAAAATAAAATTAAGCATGTTTACAGAAAAGCTTGTGTCCATAATAAAGGTCTGCAAACAGCTGAGCCACAGAATGTCCAAACTCTATCACCTGCAAAAATACGTTATGAGCAGACACTAGGCTTACAGTTAACATATACCATTGAATTGGTTGCATTTTCTCCACAATTAATCCTGTTCTTACGACTCTACTGTAGCCTAAAACACCGGATGTCATGGAAATGAGCCATAATGCTATGCAAGTTACAGTAGTGAACTGTAAAGATACTTTAGAGTATATTACTGGTTATTTTGCAGTATTCCAGGGGTTGCCTCAAACGCCAAAGTACAGCTGTGCAAGGTGACCTGCATGTGGACTTACGTGACTGTGTGCATGTATGTTTTAGTGTGTGTCAGTATATATTACAGTCAATCATAAACAGACCCGGAGTTGTTCATTCAGTCACCTGGCACCTAAAGTTCCTGATTTCAAGACTTTGAAGAGTCACAGTCAGAATTATACAGCATGAAGACTGCTGTTTTATCTGGTGGTGGGAGTCTTCTTCTACCTCAGTGCTGGCTTCATCCGCCCACACCAGGCTGACCCGTCCCTGCTCCATGTAGGCGAGGAGAAGACACTGGAGTGACTCTGCTTTGCCAGACACGAGGTTTAACTCTGTGGCAGCTGAGGGCGCCGAAAGAAAGAAAAAGGAGTCTTTATGACAGATTTTTTTTTTTTGTCTCCTTTCAGCTGTGAAATGCATTGTGCATCAGTAGACATGAGACTTGAATGTTGACTACACTCGCTATTGTGAGGAGAGAAGACATTTGGCCTTTGTTGGCGGCGGTGATATCCAACACCCTCCGCTGTCAGATCTTTGATGTGCGAAGTGCATTTCTCGTCCTCTGTTTCAGCTGTCTGGATCTCTCCATTACTAACTATGCCAGTGTATTCATTTGTTTTGTGTGTGCTGATGTGCTATATATGAAAACAAGTCTTCTTCACATGAAAATGTGATATTTCCTGCAAATATCAACTCATTTTTTTTCATTTACACCTGTAAATGAAAGATAAAAAGGAGGGTTATTATCAAACCAAAGTTACAAGCTAAGGTTTGAATTACCTGTTCTGATCAAAGAGAGCAGGAGCAGCATCACAGTGTGAACGGTCCCAGTCGTCTTGTGTGTCAACCTGCCCACTGTGAAAAGGTACACTTGAGGTTCATTGTCTTCTAGTGGTTGTTCTGACTGTGTATGTGTGTGTGAGCACAGGGCGTCATCATGCAAGTTCATACAGGCAGCAACACATTTTTTATTTTATTTTTGTTTGAACGGTAAGAGAGAAATGAGATTGGTGTTTTTTTCAACATAATATTTTAGGCTTGAATGTCTCACAAAGTAAGTGGCTGTAAATTAGGTAAACATGGAGTAAAATCACACTCCTGACACACGCTAACACAGAGGCCATTCAGATGTTTGTATTCTGTCTTCTGAGGTTGGCAGTGAAGTCTAACAATGAGGAAAAACCTTTGTGTCAGTATGAGATGACCTTGTGACAGAGCATTTCAGTGAGAAGCAAAATAAAGAGTGACCTTTAATTTGTGAACTGTAGTTTTGTTGATGTTTACTGCATTTCTTAAAAAAAATAGCTCTTTTTATTTTCCTCATTTGTCTTATGGAGGTTTTTAGTCATTTTAAAATGACCTGGTTTACTTAAATCACAATTAAAAATAGATGTTGCTATTACCACTGCACATCAGCAGATGGCACTTCAGTCCTTAAAACTGCACTGACAGCTACTGGATATATTATCATTATTAAAGGGTGGCATGGTGCAGCAGTGGTTAGTGCTGCCGCCTCATAACAAGAAGGTTCTGGGTTTGAGCCTAAATAATTGAAAAATGTTTTCTCAAATGAGTCTTACTAAGCCTAAATAAATTTTGCTCTGACCTATTTACTCTTAAGTATGAACCCATTTTTTAGAGCAAGCATAGAGAAGACTGCATGAAAAAACATGTAGCTGCTGAATTATGTTTATTTACAGATCATCAGTTACAAATCTAGACCAATAAGTTATATACAACTTAGTTACAAAAATATCACGTGTCTGTTTTGCTATTAACCAGATACATTCTGTACATATTGCATCTTTCACATCGGCTGGATTTCAGCAGTTAAATGGCAGAGTCTTCTTAGATGCAACCTCGACAGCCAGAGATAACAGTCACTGTTGAAAAGATGGAAATGAGGAATACACACGAGCAGCGTTTACATACACAGCAACCATTCATTTGCACTCGTCCCCTTTTTCATTTTTATCACCAGCAAACCACAATAAAGCCTTGGAGATTTTCCAGTGCCTTGGCAGCACTGAACAGTTCAGACTAGCAACACTTAGATTCCCAGAAACCTGTGAGTTTGTCAACTCCTTTGGTTTTTTTTTTAATGATCAGAGTTTGAGTCAGAACATCTGTGAGTCAATACAGGTGTGTTACATTCAACATAAGTCTTGGTGCATCTGTGGCTTTCTGCTCCCCTGTGGCTTTTCATAGTCTTTACACACACATATGAAACCAGTAAATATAATTCGATTTGCTGCCAGTTACACAACTTTGGAAAATACCTGGAACAGCCTTTAGGGGAGCAAATTATCAGTTGAACTGATGATTTGCTGGAGAAAAGCTCCGACTTACAGCAAGAACTTAAGCTAACTTACCAACTTTAAAGCCCCAGTCCTGAAGGTTTAACACAGTATATCAACTATTGGTACAAGTAAAAACACATGAAGCTTGGACAAACAATACCTTTAAATTCTTCCACAGAGACATACTGTAATGTTAGTCTTTCTAATCCAAGGTAAGAAACTAACTTTACTGAGATAGCATTTTTTCAGTATCTTCAATATATTTAAAGAGGTTGCATCAATAAACCAGTGTTTAACAACTCCAAGTTTTCTTTTTAATAATCATCCAGTTTTATCAAGGCAGTAGCTGGCAACCTCTCATACAGCAGGCTGATAATTATCAAAACATTCCAGTGTTTCTGAGTTCATATATGGTCATAAATCAAAAGCAGTATATTGCAGTTTCTCAAAACCAGAATGCAGTTTAAGGAACCTCAGAGTTAAACTGTCACAAATGAACAAAGTGTGCCCAAGGGGACAGCGGCCTCAGTTGCACATTAATGTTGACAAAAAACTCAACTGACAACTGTAACATGTATCACTTTCAACTGTGCTGAAAAACAGTATTCAGTGGCGACATCCACAGAATAGAATAAAATTCAATTTAAACATTTAAATAAAACAGTGGAACAAACACAGTGTCACATGTAGGGCTACGTTCCACTTCCAGTTTAAGCTTTTAATACAGCAGTAAAATTAAAATGATAGAACTTCACATTATTTGGTAAAACTCAACATGCCAAACAAGACAAAACAATAATGCTGCCTGCAATCCTGATTCATACACCGACACTTTGCATTCAGTCCCCGAAGAGCCCTTCAGACCAGAAGACTTTTGTCCATGCTGGTTATTAACATGGGCTACATGGACTGATAGTGCTTTAGTGATGATCGGATTATAGCTGCAATGTGTGTTTTGGTTTAAAAGCAGACAAAAGTGATAAGTTCTCAATCTTATCACATGCTACATTCCTTCTCACTTGACTCTTCAGAGGAAATAGTTGAAATACAAACATGTGCTACAGGTTTGTTACACAAAATAACACTATTCATATTATAAGGCAGAATATGTCGCGACAAATTACTCAAAATCAAATATGTATGTGTGTATATAGATATATATAGATATATATGTAAAACAGAGCTATCAATTTTACATGTGTGTACACTACCCAGCCACACCCTCAGTTTTGTGGCTCAGGAACAAGTTAAAATCTTACAAGAATAGTCATAAAAGCTGTTACCGAAAGCTTTTGCTAATCTCACAGCTCCTATAACTCATCTTATTGGAGGTAACACCATCCCTTTTCAAAGTTTGCAAACCTGAAACTTAAATTATTCCTAAAAAAATAAATAAGCTTCTCCTTTGTTTCCTTATTGATAAAGTAAAAACCATCGTTTAATATAAACCATCTTTTTTATGACTAAAAACTGGGAATGACTGATTTGATGTGTAACTGAGTCAAATGGTAATAAAGGGTTCATGTATTTTCTCTTTCCATGTTCTTGTAAAGTGCCCAGGTTGATGGTGAGGCCTCCACTCTCACAGGCTGGAGGGTTGGACCTGTTGCTGTATCTGTGCGCGGTGGCTTGGCTGAGCTGACTCGCAGTCTTGTGGTACTTGCTCCGGCCCCCGAGCGTACATGAGGACAAGGGTGACTGTAGCAAAGGTAGCTGCATTCACAGGGAAGGCTCGCAGCAGTGTGGAGGTGAGGCCTCGTGTAAACACCATGCAACCCTCTCTCCTTACGCTCTGCCGTACACAGTCAGCAATGCTGCTGTACTGGTTGACTCCACCCACTCCATCTGCCTGGAGCCGTGATTTGATCACGTCCACGGGGTATGTGGAGAGCCAGGAGGCAATACCAGCCATGCCCCCAGCAAACAGAAGTTTGGGGATCAAGTAACGATCGTCAGGCTCACAGCCAAGGCTGCGCGTCAGCACATCATAGGCCAGGAAATACACTCCAAAGCCAGGTGTCTCACGAATAAGTGTAGTCACCATGCCTCTGTTTATCCCCCTTAGACCCTCCCGTTTGTAGATGCGCGCCAAGCAGTCAGCGGAGTTCTTGTACATCTTCTTAGAAGACTTCTTCTCTCCAGTACCCTGCATTTGCATGCGGGTTTTAGCCAGCTCCATGGGGCAGCAGATGACACACTGAATGGCACCTGCTGCTGCACCAGCAAGAAACTGGTTCATTGGTGTGTCATGTCCCAGCAGACGCATGGTGTTCCCCTGGACACCAAACACTATAGCATTGATGAATGTAAGGCCCATCATGGGGGATCCAATGCCTTTATACAAACCAAAAGCCTTTAAAGAGGATCAGAGATGTCATGTTAGACCAGGTATTTTAGCACATCACTAGAAAATGAAATTATGCTGATTTACCTTTAAAATAAAACCAAACATTTTCAGTGTTAGCAAATTTGGATTTAATTATCTGTCTCCTTTAAGTGCATCTTCTAGTTACATAGCCTCAAATAATTTGACTGTGATTGAAGTACTGGGCCACATGTGTCATCTTACTACTGTACTATAATTTGAATAAGCAGGGTGCACAACATGCATCATTTTCAGAACAACCAGCTGCAGTTACTCCCACTACCACAAAAAACAAAGGATTTAGATACAGCTTTTGCATGTCCACAGCTTTCACAACATCACAGTAACAAACTCCATTTCAACTTCCGCATCATTGCTGTCACTTTGCTTCTACCCAAAAGTGCTCAAGCATTTTGAGAGATCTGCTATAGGACGTTCTTCAGAAGCTTTGAATAATAAGTCTTATGATGTACAGTATATTCAAGTTTTAAAAACAGGCTGAAAATAGTTATCCTTATTGGTGGGAAGAAAAGTTAGAACAAAAGAGGGGAAAAAAATAATTTCATTAAAATGAAAAATTAAAACAAACAAAAACCCCAAGATTATTCAGGTCAGCAGAGGACAATCAAACAAGCCTGACAGCAAACCAAACACACGACATAGCATCATATTAGCATTGTTACTGCATAAGAATAACAGCATTAGATTTGTATGGAAAATAAACCCACATACCGTCTCCTGCCGAATAATGGACTGGAAACAGTGAAAGGTGCCACGGTAAAGAGGTCGATCCACACACTGGACCTGCAGTCTCACCTAGAAAAGATGGCACACTTTAATCATCTGTGCTGTATACAGGAAGAAAAGGGACGACAAATGGAGAGAAACGTTGAAGTCAGTGCATACAATGTACACCTCTGGCACGGCAACTTGGCAAATAACATTTAGCACTTGGGATTAGAGAAACATGTCATTCTGGGAAAGGAAAAGGAATGAAATGAAATTTAATGAAGTTTTTGATTTGAAAATGTCTTACATTTATAGAGGGGCATGTAACCAGAGGATTACTTATAAAGCTTTTAAAAAATTTTATAAAAGTCAGTAATTTTACTCTGCATTAAAAAAAATTGCTACCTTAACTGTGTCAAATGGGTGTCCAACCAAGACCCCGGCAGCACCTAAACACAAAGGGAAAAGATACAATGAGCAAAGGTAATCACTTTGCAAACAGTACACCAGTATTTTTATTCAACACTAAATGTTTTTTTTTATTTACAAATCACACATAACAAAAATACAATCTCATATGCCACATCACCTCATTTAAACCTACTCAAAGACCTTTCAAACTTCATACTCATAAAAGTTATGAATGCCACAAACACTCAATAAGTTGGCAAAAAACAAAACAAACAAAAAAAGAATAACAAGGTGACCATGTGCCTTGACTGTATTTCTTATCACATTCTTTCAAAACTAGACATGTACCAAGGTCTTTCAGCCTTTTATGCAAACATTAAAGGATAAGACTGGTCATTTTCTATATTAACAATATTTCAACATTCCTCATACTGAAACTAAAACTGACAATGAATTGCCTCTGCTCACGGTTAATGTCCATCAGTCTGTCAGTCCTGGATTAGCTTATTCATCTGTGTCGTAGACGTCTGTTATTCAAAAATGATAACAGCTGACTCTGACTCATGCCAATGTCAGGAAATTATGGCCGCTCACTCGTGATTCCATTTACATATCAGACTAAATAAATTAGTCTTTGGCCTAAGTGACCGGCCACTGAAGGCCAAAACTCTTGCTGTTGGCATTTCTGTGTAATTTTACGCTGTCATCTCCTCCAGGGTAAGACTGTCTGAGTCAGAGCCAGCTCACTAAATGTGTGAAACCTTTTTTAGCATGCCTTTACAAGTTTTATGTAGCACACGCCTATGTAGTGATGCCAGTTTGAGCATTGAACTGAAATCTGACAACAGTTCCTGGACTGACACAAACAACAGTTCTTCGAAGGTTACCCCAGGAAACTAGCGCTTGAATAAGTGCCCACAATCCCAGACACATGACCATTTGAAAAAATAAATGGGCGTAGGAGTGAGTCCCATCTGTAAGCCAGGGAAAGAACACAAGCAGGGTGTCTGACACAATGAGCGGTCATTGACCTCAGTGCACCGAGGCCTTAAATCATAGCTGTCATCATCAAGCTGTCATGTGCCACCACCCATCTTTTAATATCTGAACTCTGTACTTAAACAATGCTAATGAGCTAAGCTCATTTTGAGTTTGGCACCAACTAGGCCATCTTTGATCACTAACAACCTGCTTCCCATTTAACTAGTTGCCTCCCTGAGCTCAACCACACTGTGAGAGGGTGGGACACCACATGATATCTCACTGTAAAATAAAGAGAGCATGGGATTGGTCCTTGAAGGGGTGTGTACTGACCGTTTCATACTATTTGCCTATGGTGTATGTGTAAACTTAGCAGCCATAGCTTGAAGGCTCTGGTTGCACGTATATAGCGTTGTTTGTTTGTATTTCTCTGAAACAAACATTTATTAACCGTGCAAACTTGTATTACATTTGACATGCCAATGCAAGGTTTATCCTTACTGGTCAACATCGGTAACCTAACCTTTTGCATTAAGCCGTTGTTAGCCATCACAAAACTGCTGGAGGGGAAATAAAACGAAGAAGGAAGAAAGGACAGACATTTACATTATTTGCATGACGCACAAGTCACTCACAACTTTACACTCAGCAGTACCAGGTCAAACACAAAACAGCAGCATTTAGCCGACGGGCTCAGCTTCAGTGTCCACACCTGCGGTGGAATTTCGAAAATACCTCTGTAATCCTGTGATAGCGTAGCATCACACCAGCATTTGCAGAGCTAGGCATGTTTGTGCTTTTCAGGCGTCAAAAACAACAGAAGTTCATTTCAATCCAAGTCAAACTAACTCTGATCGAGACGGCTCATAGGCATATAAAACAAATTTTCAAAAATTACAACATAAATAAAGTGGCTAATGCAAATGGTGCTGCAACTGACTTACCTCCCATGCATCCAGCAACAAAGTCCATCACGTCACCTAGCTGAGGATGACCAAATATTATCTAACGCTAAATGAGGACTCTCAACAACTTAAACTTAAGCCGTTTACTTCGTTGTACACAGAAACTGACCCAAACTGTTTAATAATTGACACTTTCACTTAGCAGTTAATGTCGCGGTTAGCTAGCTAGTCACCGACTTCCCTCTAAAACCTGACAGCTTTGAATGCTGACAATTTAATTTTTTCTAACCAGTTATTTAGCTTGTATGCTGTTTATTTTTAT